GGTGCGGAGCGGTTTTTTATATTTGAAAATATCACGGAGCGGTGCGGAGCGGTTTATCCGAGGGCCATAGTCTCACGGAGCGGAGCGTTTTTTTTTCTCATGTCACGGAGCGGTGTGGAGCGGTTAATCCGTAGTGCGGTTATTTTCACGGAGCGGTTTTGTATACTCCGTAGCATAAACCGAGCAAAACCGTGTCCTTGAGGACGGTTATCCGTCAGAAAAAAACGTCAAAACCGCACGGATATCCGTACAAAATCGACGGAGTACCTGCAATTTCTTCAAAAACGTCGGGTGTCGTACACCGGAAACCGACTTTTCCACACGGTGTGCTGTGTTTGGAGGCCGCCGGTGACACCGTATGCGTCCTCGTCGCTAGGACAGCCCAAACAGACCAAAAAGCTGTCAACTAATCAATTATTCAGAAAGGAACCGTTCCCCACATCGATACCTCCTCGACTCCTACGTTCCTGCAACACGTACAACAGCAGACAAATCCTCACTTACTTGCCTCTCGTTGAAACTTGCCAGTACTAATACCTCCCGACTCATACGTTCCTGCAACACGTACAACAGCAGCTAATTCCTCATATGCCTCTCGTTGAAACTTGCCAGTACTAGCACATGGGTAACACCAGGCGTCTTGTGTATTCATCCAACAACATACGCCGCTATGTCGCTCAGTCAGATTCGACCTCGACAACCACCTGCTTTCCCGCACAAGCGGCTTGGACAGATGCAGCTTTAGCCTTCCCAACAGACTGCGCTGCAAGCAGCTTCCCCAACTCATTGTCCAACTTCATGATCTCGGGAATAAGATGGGGGTTAGACCGGAGGAACATCACCATCTCGACACGGTCGGGCATCATCGCCTGCCGAAGGTTGTTGTAAACGAATCCCAGGCCCGAAAAGTCCCTCCCTGATTGGCAACTAGTTAGTGCTGTCAATGCAAAGGTACACGCGAGCAAGCATGGACAAGATGGGGCACATTGGCCACGAGCAGCAGCAGCCGTAGCGTATGCTTTGCCTCTCTCCTGCTTCGCTTTTGTAGATTTGTTGCTCGCTTTCATCGCCAACTCGTACTGTGGAACATGCTTCGTCCGCAGATGGTCTAGCTGCGGACGCGTGCCGTTCTTGGCCACGTGCTTGTACATCCGGCCGCATTCCTTGCCGTCTTCATCGGCAACGATGCATCGCGTGTTCTTCCCGTTGTCCAACGGCTTGTTGAGCTTCTGGAAAAACGTCCAAACTCCCGACAAATTCCCGTGTGGTACGGTCTCTGCAACGTTGATGACGGTGCGTTTGACGCTACGCACCATGCTCAGGCGGGATTCCCCAGGTTGCGCCGCTGCTGATGCAGCAACAGCACCAGCAGAACCTCCGGCACCAGCACTAGCACCAGCACCAGCACCAGCACCACCAGGAGAGCGGTCGCCAGAAGGGCGGTCGCCAGGGTTGGATGTCGACTCCATCAGAGATAGGCAGACGTGCACACGAACTGATGTGCACGGAGTGTGTGTGGTTCGTGTGCACGGAGTGTGTGTCTGTGTGGCTGCTGTGAAAGTAGAACAGAAAAAAATGGAAAAATATCGTGACTCCGTAGGAAAAAAAACGTTACTCCGTGGTAAAACCGCGGCTGTATTGCGGTTTTATCCGTGCTTGTGTGACGGAGTAGGGCAAACCGCTCCGTGAAAAAACCGCTTGTACGGATTGTTGGGAAGCCCCACGGAGCGGAGCGGAGCGGTTTATCCGAGCGCAGATTTCTCACGGAGCGGAGCGGTTTTTTTGTTCATGTCACGGAGCGGAGCGGTTTTTTCTCAAGGGAAAACCTCACGGAGCGGTGCGGAGCGGTTTAAACCGCTCCACTCCGTGGAAAAAAACCGCTCCGTGAGTAACCCTGATTTTTTTCTGTTCTACTTTCACAGCAGCCACACAGACACACACTCCGTGCACACGAACCACACACACTCCGTGCACATCAGTTCGTGTGCACGTCTGCCTATCTCTGATGGAGTCGACATCCAACCCTGGCGACCGCCCTTCTGGCGACCGCTCTCCTGGTGGTGCTGGTGCTGGTGCTGGTGCTAGTGCTGGTGCCGGAGGTTCTGCTGGTGCTGTTGCTGCATCAGCAGCGGCGCAACCTGGGGAATCCCGCCTGAGCATGGTGCGTAGCGTCAAACGCACCGTCATCAACGTTGCAGAGACCGTACCACACGGGAATTTGTCGGGAGTTTGGACGTTTTTCCAGAAGCTCAACAAGCCGTTGGACAACGGGAAGAACACGCGATGCATCGTTGCCGATGAAGACGGCAAGGAATGCGGCCGGATGTACAAGCACGTGGCCAAGAACGGCACGCGTCCGCAGCTAGACCATCTGCGGACGAAGCATGTTCCACAGTACGAGTTGGCGATGAAAGCGAGCAACAAATCTACAAAAGCGAAGCAGGAGAGAGGCAAAGCATACGCTACGGCTGCTGCTGCTCGTGGCCAATGTGCCCCATCTTGTCCATGCTTGCTCGCGTGTACCTTTGCATTGACAGCACTAACTAGTTGCCAATCAGGGAGGGACTTTTCGGGCCTGGGATTCGTTTACAACAACCTTCGGCAGGCGATGATGCCCGACCGTGTCGAGATGGTGATGTTCCTCCGGTCTAACCCCCATCTTATTCCCGAGATCATGAAGTTGGACAATGAGTTGGGGAAGCTGCTTGCAGCGCAGTCTGTTGGGAAGGCTAAAGCTGCATCTGTCCAAGCCGCTTGTGCGGGAAAGCAGGTGGTTGTCGAGGTCGAATCTGACTGAGCGACATAGCGGCGTATGTTTTTGGATGAATACACAAGACGCCTGGTGTTACCCATGTGCTAGTACTGGCAAGTTTCAACGAGAGGCACATGAGGAATTAGCTGCTGTTGTACGTGTTGCAGGAACGTATGAGTCCGGAGGTATTAGTACTGGCAAGTTTCAACGAGAGGCAAGTAAGTGAGGATTTGTCTGCTGTTGTACGTGTTGCAGGAACGTAGGAGTCGAGGAGGTATCGTTGTGGGGAACGGTTCCTTTCTGAATAATTGATTAGTTGACAGCTTTTTGGTCTGTTTGGGCTGTCCTAGCGACGAGGACGCATACGGTGTCACCGGCGGCCTCCAAACACAGCACACCGTGTGGAAAAGTCGTTTCCGGTGTACGAAACCCGACGTTTTTGAAGAAATTGCAGGTACTCCGTCGATTTTGTACGGATATCCGTGCGGTTTTGACGTTTTTTTCTGACGGATAACCGTCCTCAAGGACACGGTTTTGCTCGGTTTATGCTACGGAGTATACAAAACCGCTCCGTGAAAATAACCGCACTACGGATTAACCGCTCCACACCGCTCCGTGACATGAGAAAAAAAAACGCTCCGCTCCGTGAGACTATTGCCCTCGGATAAACCGCTCCGCACCGCTCCGTGATATTTTCAAATATAAAAAACCGCTCCACACCGCTCCGTGGAACTAAAAAAAAAAAAAAACGCTCCGCGGAGCGGTTCTACTCCGTGAGTAACCCTGAGCAGCAGTCGCCTCCTGGCTTGGACGATGAGGGTGACCACTCTCGGGTAGATGGAGAGGAAGTTCGGGCACCACCATTCCCAACCGTAGGGGAAGGATTCACCACAGCACCAACAGAGCTCGTAACAGCAACATCAACAGCAGCAGCAGCAGAAGCGGCAGTGGCGGCAGTACCCGTCCCGCAACCTCCCAGCAAAGGCAAGGGTGAAGACCGTGCTCATGAAGCCTCCCAAGTACGCGGGGGGGCAGCTCCAGCAGTGCTATCCTCTCAAATAGGTGAGGGGTTATTACCAGCATCAACAGCACTGGCAATGTCAGCGGCACCAGAGGCCGCAACAGGGGCAGCAACATCGGCACAACTCGCAGCAGTAGCAGCCGGAGTAGCCGCCGCCGCGGGGGCGGCAGCGGCGAGACCAGCAGCAAGCGGACGTCAAGACCACGTAGCGCGCCAACAAGGATGAGGAGGGGGGCTGAGCGGCCGTGGAGGAGGTAGAGGAGGGGGGATGAGCGGCCGTGGGGGAGGTGGGGGAGGGGGGCGACGGGCAGCAGCGCCAGGTCGTGGAGCAGCAGGAGGTGGGGCTGAAGGAGCCGCCGGTGGAGGGGCCGGCGATGATGATACTTCAACATCCAGTGCGCAGGAACGCTTCTTTCAAGAAGTGAAGGACAAGATCGACCGGAGTATCACCCACGAGGGAGGTGGTGTGAAAGGCCGGTTCCCGTTTGACAACCCGCTCGTCCGTCCGAAGTGTGCCACTTTTCAACCATCACCAGGTACACCAGAGGAGTTGTTTTTTTTTGGAGGGGGGGGGGGGATAGCTCTGCCTATCTATCGTTCTTTTCGGATTAAATCGTCCAGGAAAAAAACATCCCGTCCCCCGGTAGGCTAACTTTTTTTTTCTCGCGTGCCTGATGTTCTGACATATCTACCTCAAATTTACGCGCGCCCAGGCCTACCGAAACTCGACCGGTTTTATCAGAAGGCAGTATTGGTATGGATACCGGAGTTCTTGTTCCCAGAGCTCCAGGCAGTTCCTTGTCCAGGATGTGGGGGCAAGGGCGCACCTGATGGCTGGAACCCTAAGGGGCCACGCCGGGTGTTCATGGAGCACGACGTGGCGTACATCATGGGGTTTCGGTAAGTTCAGCATGCGATGAAGAGTTTTCGCTCGATAAACTTGATCAGTCATGTTTTCGTGGCATTCGACGAATTCTAGGTTTCTTCTGGATATGAGTTGGTGTTGTGGTTTTCCGACGACATTGCTCGTGGTGCATGTTTTCTCCCATGCATGTGCAGGTACAAGTGTGCGAAGTGCGCGGAGTTCAACAAAGGCAAGCAGGAGGCGGAAAAGCGCGCAAGACGAGCTTCAACGCGTGGGATGCTGGGTGCCTCCGGCGTCTCCCCGAGTACATCTCCAAGGAGTTCCCTTTCCTTCTCACCAAGCGATCGGGCATTGAGATTCGCATGGTGGACCGGCTTGCAGATGATTTAGTGCATGGGAAGGGCTTCTCCGCTGCTGCCAAGAACATTTGTCAGGTGAATGTGCATTTTCTCATCTGCAGCGTCTTAAGATAACGGGTTGGTCTGGTCTTGGCTTTCCTAGCCTGCTCAAAACGTTTTCGGATGGTACCGCAAACGTTGCTGCGGGAAATGTCGGATCTCATAAGCGCCGACCCGTGCTACAACGAAAACGTGTCGCCCTCGTGATGCTGTTGCAGGCGCATACGACCAAGTTCATGGTGGACCAGCTGAAGTACACCTCTCTGGTCAACTCACGGCGGACCAGCTCGGGCATCTTCCGCTCGGCCAACCTCGCCAAAACTCCGGAGAGGTTCGGCAGCTTTGATGACTCGACAAAGTACGGCGGTGCGGTCCCGTCGGAGCACTATTTGCGGGACGTGTGGCGGTTGTATTTCTCGAAACTCCCCGTGCTGGAGGTGGATGGCGTGAGTTGGACCCTGGAGGAGTATCAGCACCGCTTGATGCAGCGCTGGGACGGAGAGGTTCTGGGTGGGGATGCTTCGTTTAAGTTTGCGAAGATCATCCGGCTCGGGGCAAGAGCGGGCGAGGAGCGCTCAAGACCAGTGTACGGCTTGTTCACAGTGTTCAATGAATATGAGCAGGTGAATTTTTCTCCCGTCTCTGTTTCGTTCAATCATCTCCAAACCCTTTGTCTTGGTGCCATGTTTTCTGGAGCAATCACCCAAACATTATTCTCGTAGTATGTTGCGCTCATTCTCATGACCCGAAAAACATTTCGTTGTGACACACGTGTGTTTTTATTTGAAGGTGGTCTGGCAGCGTCCGATGAAGACGGGTGCCTTGAGCGAGCTGGTGGAGGAGTTGAAGCTTTTTTTCATGCGATTCGTTCGCAATGGCTTCAAGGTTCCTACTCTGTGGAACACAGGTAATTTGCGAAATGATTGTAGACTTGCTTAGCTTTTCGAGGTTGTAGACCGGTGTCAGGCCTGCTATTTTCGCAGTGATTTTGCAGTATTGTCTCCTCAATCCTTTCCGGCCCCGTGGCGTGACGCGTGACGCATAACTTTGTCAGATGACTGCTGTGATGACCGTCAACTGCTACAACGGGTATTTCGCGAGTTTGAGGAGGCAACGTGGATCAGTCTTTATCTGGAAGACGAGGTGGACGCCGGAGTTCAGTTGGAGCTCCTGCCATAGCTGGATCTGGAGTTCACCCCTGCCATCGTGTACGACCCGGAGGCGGTAGCCGCTGCCTGCGGCTCCCTCCGTCAGAGCATCACCCAAAATCGAGTGGAGGGAAAGATGGTGTGCGGAGCGGACGCAGAGTGGCAGTTTTCACCTCGTGGGCGGGAACCTGTAGCGACCTTCCAGATTGCGGCTTTGAGGGGGCCGTCGTTCCTCTTCCACCTGCAGAGAGGGAGCTCTGGTTTTACGAAGGAAACATTTCCCGCTCCCCTGAAGGCTCTTCTCGAGGACCCCAGCATCATCAAGGTGAGACAACAGCAACAGCACATGCGCGTGAGGTTTGAATGCGATAGATGTTGTATTCCATGTAGGTGCTGCTCTTGAAAGGTTGGTACGGCATATTTTAGCATGCGTCTTGTGAGCGTCTTCCTCATGATACAATTTTAACGCCGACTCGGCGACTCGATGTATCCTCGGTGCAGGCTGGTGTTGCCATCAACACGGATGCCACGCATATGCTCAACGACAATGGCGTGAAAATGGCGAGCACGGTGGACCTGCGTGTCCTCGCCGTTTCCAAGTTGGTGGTGACATCGTCTCGAACACTCGCCGGCTTGACGGCGTGCCTCCTGGGGAGGCAGCTGCTGAAAGACACCGTTCGATGCTCCCGTTGGGGGAGCCCTCGACTCTCCGATGAACAGCGAGACTACGCCATCAGGGACGCCGTTGCCTCGGCACTCTTGTACGAGGCCATCCACAAGAACAAGGACCCGATCACGTCCGTGCCTTCTTCACCGTTCGACCCGGCTATCGGCTTGAAGGTGAGCGCCTTCGCATTGTGCTATCGGCCGTACTTTGATGTTGACCGACCACAAAAGATCATGGCAGGTTCCAAATTTGTGCTCAAACCCAAGCAACAACGCTTGTCCTCGTTATTTTGCCCTCTGCGCGTACTACAGGTGCGCCTCTACAACGCGAGCCATTCCGCCTGCGTGGCGGTAGGTCACGTGGTGTCCGACGCCACCGCGGAGGCCGCCCTTCGTCACTGGCAAAGTTCTGTGTCTGTGTTCTGCGGCAGGGGCGGCGGGGGCGACGGGGGCGGCGGGGGCGGCGCGGGCGGCGTTGCCGCAGTTCAGGGCCTGCACCGAATGCGGACACCACAAGGGTGCATACCCTGCTGAACACCCTGGGAATCGCCGTGGACATAAGGCGAAAGGTTCAGCGCCCCAGCCCGACGTTGAACCGGCGAAAAAATGTTCAGTGGACCAGAGCTTGCGGCGCCCAGAGTCGGACAAAGTCTGGAACCCGAAGCAAAGAAAGAGGACGTTTTTGCCCTGCCCGTGCGATGTATGCAAGAGCTCATACGCACACGTGGAGGATGGTGATGGTTAGCCTGTACTGCCGGGTCGAGAAGAGCTGGACACATTACAAAAAATGTAAATATTTGCCTACCGGTTCGAAAGGCCGTTCGGTCAGTTAAAAGTGCACTGCTTGTGCGGCAGTCGCCCAGAATTTTGGATGGTGAAGGAAATTACAAACGGCCCACGATTGAGGCAGCAGATACAGCACCACGGCTGCCCAGGCGATGTGTGTGTGTGTGTGGTGTGTTTTTTTTTTTCCGGCACCATCTGCCGTCTTTCAACAACGATATTGAGTTGGACGGTATGCTAGACGTGCCTGAGAATGCAGTGCAAGAAACCGTTTCTAAATCGGCTCACAGTTCGAGGAGAAAAGCCTACAAACAGCAGTGGATCAGAGGTGTGTCCGGAAAAAAAAAAAAAAACAGCCAAACTCTGTGCAAACGCCTCCAAACATTTTTTCGCGCTTCGCGCGATTTTTTATTTATTACGTCCCCGGCTAGCCCTACCTATGGGCCCTGAGCCAGAATTGTGGGGTTCTGGATTCGTGCTCCCTGCTTGGTGCTGGTCGTGCGTGGTGTATCTGCGTGTCTGAGCCATGCGAGTCGTCGCACATGAAGGAATAAATCAGCACTCCACTTCTTGAACGTCTAGCGAAAACCCCGTAAATGCTATGTACCTCTAACAAACGTCACACCTATATGTACTCCCCAAACCCAAAAACATTAATTAAATCAAACACCCCCATATACATGTATTATTTTTATGTACTCCCTAAACCCAAAAACAATTAATTAAATCAAACACCCCTTTATATAATATTGGTATGTACTCCCCAAACCCAAAAACAATTAATTAAATCAAACACCCCTATATTTTATATGTACTCCCCAAACCCAAAAACAATTAATTAAATCAAACACCCCTATATTTATTTATGTATGTATTTATTCTTGTATTTACTAATATTATGCATCATTACATACATGTGGCCACCCGCCCCCCCATTTATATGCGTATGGGGGGGGTTTCTTGCCGCTAGTAGATACAGGCATACGGCGGAGAAGAAACTTCCCTCCGAAAATACCAGCTCGCAACAGCTTCAACTTTCCATCCCCGAGAAGAGAGACTGCCGCTGCTGCTTTGTGATGATGATGCCTTCTATCGCGTCGATTGGTTTGATTGAGATACTTCCTTTCGCTTGCCGACGTACCCACTGTATGCACTACTCATAGTAAATCTACCGCTGTGTGTGGCGCTGCCCATGCGTCTCCTAATTTACCACCGCGCGTTGTGTCCTCACGGCATTTGGTGGTTTTGTCGTGATGTGACGCTCTTCTTGTGACCGACCGGTGGTTGGTCTGGTGTAGTCACAAACTCCCCACCACTCGGTCTAGACTGTTAAAAGCAAGTTAAAAGTTCACAGAGATAACGCCTATCATTTCGAGAATGAATTTGTGAAATCGATTACCACTTACTTACGTCAATTAGACTATCTTTTTTTTTCTTTTGGGGGGGCGTTCTCGAACTTGCGAAGAAAAGCAAAAACACGTGGTAGTACCCTACTACCTGGGAACCTGCCGACAGAGAGATGGGACGCCTACAGAGAATGAAGAGGACGGGAAAACTGATGATACAAGTAAGTGGCGATCAGAAGTTGTGAGAGAGGGGGGTTGGCATGGTCTCCACAGCGCCGTTCATTGCCGGATTGTTGTATATCGTTGCAGCACAAAAAAAAAAAACGGTTCGTTATCCTCGCGTCAGGCACGGCACATACATGCATGCATATGCGTCACATGTAGACGATCAGCCAGGTCATTGCGTAACGAATTAGTATTACGTGAGCGTGACGCTGTTCGTTGTTGTGCCCTCGAGCAGACGAAGCGCGAGCGAGCCCAGATTGATTTCGCCAAAAAGCAGCTACTGTAGATACTGCGCGCGCACACATGCCGTATCAGTTTCTGATGCCTGTGTCCATGGCGGTAAGGTAACGCCACTCATCATATCGTGAAAGAAAGAAAACGATACCACTTAATTAATACAGTATGCATACCGTTCTTTGGTGCTGCGTGTTGGTCGTACACGTGCAAGTAAACATTATCGCATTAGAGAGAGGACGTAAATAGCCAGTCAGTACAGAAACCAATCAACTGTCAAATGCGGCACAAGAGAGACGGCCCGGCCCGCTTTTACTTCGGGGACCGGCGGTGTCCTACAACTCCTTTCACAACCCAGCGCTAACCGGAGAGTGACGAGACGGACAGTTTCACAATATAGAAACTTGAACTTTCGACAGCAACAACACCAGTACTGTAGTCTCATCACCCAAACCTCTCCTGCAACAGGACTATAATATGCTCCCACAACATGAAATAGCACATAATATCTAGGTTACAAGAGAATTTTCAGCCTTGTACCGACAGGTAGCCGAATTGTGCACCTTTTTGAAACAAACGCGGCGCGTTACGAAGTCAACAGACACCATAACCAACCATGATGACACCAACACCCACGCAAATCGAACATCCAACACGAACCAATACACACACAAAACGAGGAAACAGTGAAGAGAGAGACAGAGAAGGAGACGAAAGCAGAGCGAAACATCAACCAAGCAGAGAAAAACTTACAAGAATCTTCCGACACCGCCCATGACTGGACGACTCCGCACCTATCGCCCAAGAGCACATGATCTAGGCAGAATATCTAAAACAAAGCGCAATCTAGCAGTACGGGATTCGGAACCTCGCTACACCAGACTAATCCTCGAGCGAGAGAGAGCATACAAACACGAGCGTTGCTTTCACGTTCGGGATGCAAGTGCCGTGAAACACTCACTCAATAACAAGAGAAAGAGAGAGAGAGAGAGAGAGAGAGTAGGCTCGAGCAAACAAAATCAACATCCTCAACCGCAAAATATTGCAGCTGAGGTAAACACAGATACGAACGCCAATCGATCTGTCAACTTGCCAAAACAAAAAATACCCAACTATGCCAGTTTTCTTTTCGGCAAAATTTCTTGTACAAACATACCAACCATCACATTCGACAGCATATTGTACTCTCCCTCGTCGAGAATCCCCCGTTGGCTCAGCACCAAATCATTCAACAGGCCACAGTACACCTTGATCCATCAGTCGAAACGAACCAAATAACTGCGGTAACAAGTAAACACCCCCTCGACTTGAGAACCAAGCCAAGCCAAAAACAAATTCCGCCGCAAAATTGAGAACTTTCTGTTCGTTCATCCTACATCCCCTCCCGTTGCATGAGATAACGATTAACAATCACGTCAAAACGAACCTACATGTAACGGCTTGTTTTTCGCGCATTGCGGCGTCGCCAAAGCGAACGGAGCTAGAGAGACCTTCCCGCTCCGACTCCAGGCACGCAACACAGACAACCAAACCACCCCTCACACGATCCTGTCCCAATAGGCGCATCTTTACCCCGACGTTCAAGTCCGCCCTGATGATCTTATCCTGCAACTCATGTTCCCTGCCAATCCGAAGTACAGAATCGAAGTTACGCCGCCACGTGCTAAGCTAAGCCAGCATACGGTCCAATTAAAGACATGAACGAAAAAGGAACTAAAAACTTGTCATGAAAAATCCAGCAAGACAAGGACAAAAATAACGAGAACCGTCCATCCCTACACCATATTGCTACAAAATTCTCAGAGGGGCATGGGTGGGCCAATCAGAACCAGACCAACTACCAACCAATGAAAAGCAAGGAGAGGGAAACGGTTTCGCACGCGTCGACCGCACCACAGCGTATGCACATAGCATCGCAGAGAGCCGAGGATAGGAGCGTTGGTGTTGCTGCTGCTTGCAGCGTGCGCATGTTTCCTCCTACCCCCAAAGCAACACCTGCGAAACGTCCTTCCTTGAGATCTCGGATCCTCTTCCTGACCTCCTGTGCCCAGTGTCTAAATCGTGGACGAGAGAACAGCAGACCCTAACCTAACCCATATAATACCATGGCAGTACCGCCCCTTCTCTGGGTGCAAAGGGCAAGAAAGTGCGGTACTTCGGCCGCCATCCGTGCGCCCCAACGGTACTTCGGCAACTACCATCGCACGAGAGCATCAGTGTTCGTCAAAGCTTCATGATGCCCCGGCTTTCTTCCACTCCACCATCCATGGCGGGCGGGGGCGGCGGCAGCTGTATTACCTTTGTTACCGCGCCCTTCCTTACCCTCCCCCCTCTCCTTCAACTACAAAACACCACAACACCAGCACAAGTACACGCCACAACCTAGAGCAATGGGCGGCGCAAGTACGCTACAGCAGTATTAAAAACGTCAGTCGACTCCAAAGAGAGAACCAAGAGAGAAAGACCCGGTCTCCCCGTACGCCGCTAACTATAATAACGCATTCCGAACTACCGTTCTCGAAAAAGCGTTCGCGACATGGAGGGGAGGCGTGGGCATTTCGTAGCTCACACGCTTCACCACCAGAGAGAAATAAGCGAGTGACGTGACGTGACCGGAGTGATAGCGACCGAAACACGAGAGCGACAACGAAGGCGTATATGTGTGTCTTAGGCCCGCCTCCCTTTACATCGGCTCGGCCTTAGTCTCGTCCGCAGCCCCACCGCTACCCTTAGCCGGTGCTGCTGCCCGCGCCCCGGCGACCGCGTTCCTCTTGCCGAACTTGCTCATCAACAACCCGCCGCACAGAAGGATAACGATCCCTACCCCGGCACCAGCGGCGGCCGCCACCCACCACGTGTCCTCGGGGTCCACCGAGCCGTCGCCTCCGCTGCCGCCGCCGACAGTGGCCCTCTCCTCGGCGGTGGTATCGTCGGTACCTTCGTCGGCACTCAGGTTGTAACCGTATCCGGCAACCCCCTCGATACTATTATATGGTTGTGTTTTGCGATCCAGAACAAGTGGGATGAAGAGGGTACGGAACAGGATGGGCATCAAAGGGTTGTTGATAAGCACGTTGTGGTCATGGTCGGGAGCAAGCGGGGGGCATGTCCAGAGAGGGAAGGAAGACAGGCACACAGGTTAGGCAACATGCCATGCAAAAGGCGACAATGTATCTTCAAACACAGTATGTCGTACTCTATACACCAACACACGAAAACGTGAGGCAGCCTATCAGCTAGCAGTCCCAGGTTTTCTGGAGTTGCGCGAAAGGCGTTCGTTCGGTAAAGTGGCGAACGAAAATTTCCTTATTTTTATGGATGAGCATGTCGTCGTTGCAACACATCGAGTGCTGAGTGGGCATAGCACAGAACAGCTGGCCCGTTCCAACACAGCCCGACAACGTGTAGGGCATGTAGCGCGGTGGTGCCCTCACAGTGTGAGTCTTGACTTTGATGCTTGCTCCGGGGCCAACACGCGGCATTGCTAATGAAGCAAAAACACAAAGGCAAAAATCCACTATTTATAATAAGAGTCTTCGTTGGAGGAACACACCAGGCCACGAAACGAAAACAATGTCAAGAAGTGCAATATGAGTCTTGATTGGATACTCCGAGGCTTACACGCGGGGCTACAAAGACGTAAAGTTTCGAGGACTCAAAAAAATTTCTCCGTCAGGACAAGGACAAGGACATGACCGGCGGATGGCCTCTTCTCACCCACAAGTTCCAGCGGCAAGCGCGATCGGGTCTTCGTTGGGACCCTCGCCCCCGTCGATATCAGCGACGGCCATCACTCCAGTGTCGCTGTGGGAGTTGACGTGGCAGTGCATGGCCACGTGGCCACCGTAGCGCTCCGTGCGGAACCGGACGACCGCCAGAGTCGCTGAAAAAAAACAATAAAACAAGGGGTGCACGCCAGATTGATCAACCAAGCGCAAAAAACAACAAGAAACGCAAACAAAACACGCGCGATGTTACGCGAACACCAGGAACAGTAAGTGTCTGGTGGCAGCGATGTACAGTACCGCATCAACCGCCGCGGTGCCATCGTGCGTGAACATGGGCTGCGTGCACTGCAGCAGCAGTACTACTACATGCACTCTACCCAGGGTTTGTGTTAACGAGGAGAGTGCTGTAGCGTGCCAGTGCCAGAGAGAGCAGCTCAGAGACCGGGAGCAAGAAGGACACAACACCTATAACCCAATTTCGTGTACTTGTAGACTGTTCGGGGCCACTACAACAACGCTGGGTTAGTCATGCACAAGCCTTGTATGCCTGCTGCGCACACGTAGCGGTGGATTGCCAGCCTCAGGAGCTGCCAACAAGTCGACCTTCCCCTTACTCTTCGTCCAGCAAACACACCACACCACACCACACCACACCACACCAACGCGCGGGCGACTCACTCGAAACGGTGTCCACCCAGTCACCGACGTGGTTCCAGCCCGGTACCAGCGCCGGTCCGTCCACAGTGGCGAACTGCATGTGGTTCACGTGCATGTGGAAGGGGTGTTGTTCCGACCCCTCCAACAGCCATTCCTGAATCTCGTCAACGGTCATGTTCACCACGAAGTTTTCGGGCCCGCTGTAGTACTCGTCTCCGATCGTCTCTCGAACCAAGAGGCCCAGTGTCTCGCCATCCAAGGTTGCGTTGACCAAGTCTTGGAGGTAGTAGGGCCTGGGGTGCGGCGCGGCGCGGCGTGCGACGTTACATCAGAGGCAGCCAGACACCACTCAAGAAAATAACGAAAAAAATAATCACCCGTGTTGCTCTATTTATTAGGCTGGTTTCTTGTTATGTGTTGATCTTTTCTCTTCTCTGTGGAGGTAAACTCAACGTCAATTACTTATGGTTCAGTGTTGGGTCCATAACTGACCAACTTGTCAAGCGTCAAGTGTTGATGTTTGTAGGCCTGGAGTTCTCGACTCCCAGGTACTTCAGTAGTACGCTCCATCTATACTTGTATGGGAAGTGACGTCGCACGACCATCAAGAACGGTAACCAAGAATTGTCGAAAAGACGTAGTGGCCGCAGCGGTGTCCGAAGAGGCATGCGGGTGGCAAGTGGCAAGGCGCCACCGCCCGTTTGAGGGGCGGGACTGCTGTGGAGAGTGTGGTGTCGAGTGTTCCACGCCCACGCATATATCCATAGATAAATAGCCAGATAATCACGGTAATCCATAACACAACTGGTACATCACCGGCCACACGAACACAAAATGTGCGTCTGGTGTGTGTGTATATGTGTCATACTCCAAGAGCAGCAACGTTAACGCAAAGACATGGCATCTTCGTTTCAGATACAGCAATCAGAATCGATCGATCCCCCGGTGCAGGTGTTCGCAAAAGCAAACCGACCAACTCCTACACGCTTACGCGCCAGCAGGAGCACGGCTAGACGACAACCTACAGGCTACAGACAGCCACCACCAGCAAACGCGTATCCTTCCGTCGTTGCCGCAGAAAACAGACACACCTGCATGGCGTCCAGGTGTCCAAGTCATCATCCGGAGAGGATGAACCTCCCTCCACATACAAGGCCGCTAGAGGCGTGGTCGAATTGATGCTGCGCGTCGACTCGATCCTAAACTCGAAGTCCCCGGCCACCGAGCACCGGACGGCAGTGTCAACCCTGTGCAACAAAAAAATACGGTTGTTGCCGTAGCAAAGGCGTGTTAATTTTGAGGCCAAATCTGTCTAACAAAGGCACTTTGCGTTGGAGAAAAAGGGCGAGAAAATCGACGTGCCTGCCACGTGATGCGTAATGCACGAAAATCACAAATCACAGACTGAGGCTACGACGCACGCGCTGTGTCATCAACACCATGAACATGATCAAGAGCGTGCATCCACGGCGAAGAAACGCAACAATAGCAGCTCGCTGTCGTTCACCCTAGCCCTTCCATCCGCGGCAGAAGCGACGGCAGCGCCTGAGCCTCGTAGAGCTCTCACTGACTCAACTTACCTAGAGGACGGCGTAAAGAACAGCTTGGGCTCCATCCGCGGCACCTCTCCCAGGTACACCCCGTCCTTAGCCAGGACTGCCATCTCGCACGAGTCTTCCGGGGCTTCGATCGAGATGGCGTGGTTGTCGCCGTGTCCCGCGAAGGCCATTCGCAATCGCACCCACTCGCCCGTGGTCATCTGGATCGTCGGCATCACTTGTCCGTTGACGAGGAAGTGGCTGCAGCGAGAAAGGAAAAGGAGGAGCGGGAGCACACGGGGGCGCGATGGATCTATCAGTGGATCGAATAGGCTTAAACAGGCTCAAAACAAGTCCAGTGTCAAGCAGGTTCCCCCCCCCCCATCCCTCACTCGCTACTGCTGTAAATAATAAATAATTCCAACGCATACAATACATGCCTTCGATTGGGCGGTTATATCGAACGGCAAATAGTGTACAATTAGGCTCTATGGAAGTGTGTGAATATTTATTTGCCAGTAACCGGGAGGCGGTTCACAAGCAGTAGAGCCGTCTTGTTTTCACTGTATACATGTATACATACATAGTCTGCACCACCAACCAACCCCAACCCAGCAGACCAGCAGACAACACCAACATTTCCACGCACAAAACTGGCAAGGCAACGTGACTCTGTTCGTGGACGACACGAGATGCCATGTTTCCGCGGTGGTGGCACTCTCTTTCACTACATGATGGTATGGGTTTAGTCACCATTCTTCTCTTTACCGTATTCTGGTTTGCTCCGTGACCACCAACATTACTTAACTTCACTTGCAAGGCTACAGGAAAGGAGGTACTACAGCTGTACATAGGCCACGACAGCTTCCACAACAAAAATGAAAAGGCGGCAGGCCCAGCACCAGCACAGCGGGAAAAAAAGGACGACCAGTACAACCGCGCTTTCCTTTGCCGTGCTTTCCCTTGCTTACGTTTGAGCAGCCGTGGTCGAGTAGAGCTCATCGCCGCTAGCATCGCTGTCCGCAGTGCTCAGCTCCGGGTTCATCTCCTGGATCACCACCACGAGCTCTGGCATGTTGGCGATCTGGTCGGGGATGCCGTGCACGTCAACCCTGTCCTCGACCACCAATGTCCCCATGGCGCCACCGCCCATCTGCAGAGAGGTTGAGCCGTGGTGGTGGGGGTGGTACCAGAAAGTCCCGCCAGCGTGGTCGCACGGGATGGTGTACACGACTGAGGGAAGAGCACAAGCACAAGCGGTACAGTATGGTACGGTACGGTACGGTACGGAGAAGGGAAGAGGAGGCACGGGCAAGACGACAAAACGAGGGACGAGGAAAAGAGTGGTATTATATAGCAGGTCGCCGAGAGATGGTGGAGCGGGCAAGGCAGCACCTAGGTGACTCGACCGCGATGAGGGTGGAGGAGGGCGGCATCAAGTCATGGTCATGGGGCCATGGAGCGTTGACGAACTACGCATCCGTTGCTCCGCCCTCCCCCAAATATCTCGATTCGCCGCTCTAGCATCCTTGCTATAGATAGCTTAGCCTTGCTTGTCCGTCCTCACATGTGTGGCTCTCTCCCGGGGTGATCTCCACGTACAGGACGTCATCGGCGGGGCTTTCTCCGGAGATGTGCAGGCCGTGCGTGTGGAGGTTGGTAGTGTTGGGGTCTTTCATCGTGTTCCACTCGCCGCCGGGGTTGAGGGGCCCGAGGTTGTTGGTGTACGTAAGCTCGTATGTCTGGCAGGCCTCCATGCGAATCGTGGGGCCTGGGATCTGCGGTGGTTGACACATGCGGCGTGATTGCAACATAGAAACGTTGGGCACGGCGGGACTAATTGGTGAGACATGCTTTAGTAGGGCCTGCGACGACGAAACTCTTTGCAGAATCAGCAGTACCCCCAGTCTCCGACCTGGGACACCTCAATACCTTCACCTTCACGAGACACCCAAAAACAACTTGCCGCGTTACAAGCACCGGGCAGCAGACTCCTTCACACCACACAACCCGACATCCCGAGCACCACCTACCCCCCCCCCCCCACCACCACCACCAGACCAAAAAACGTACCTGGCCGTTGAAGGCGCGCGTGGTCGTCACCCCCCAGAAGTTGTCCATCGTCACCGCCCCCATCTCGATCTCCCCCGTAAACACGCCCGTAGCGTCGTTCAACTCCCACTCCAGCTCCACCGGCGACTCGAGAGCGTCTCCGACGGGAGGGGCCACGGGTGCGGTGGTGATGGCGGCGGCTACCGTGGCGGCCGCCGATGGCGCTGGGGTAGGTGCCGGGGCCGCCACTTCGCCTGCCAGGACCTCAAAAGACTTCACGGCAGTCTCGTCCTGAGGAAAACAAACCACAGGAGGGAGGGGGGGGGGTAAGGGTATCATAGGTACGAGGGTTGTTGGCTTCAGCGCACGTTTGAAGTAACGAAACCGTGGTACAGTACAAGTATCAATCTTTGTGTGCATGCTGGCACTGGCACTGCACGGCAGTGCGATCGAGTGTCAATCTTACGGGCCGACAAGAAAGCATTCGTCCTTAGCTTCCGTCCACTTTGACAGTCTAAATCAGCCCACATATTCTTAGTGGCCTAGCGGTGGAACTGTAGGCGGGGGTCTGTGAGGGGTTCAAACACGCTTCCCGCCATAGCAATAATGCACCATGTATAACACAGACGCAGTGCGCTCTCGGCAGCGTGTAAATAGATGTCAGCTCGCTGACGGTCGTACCCGTTGATGCGGCGGGATAATCGACAGGCAGCATCGTTTCTTTTTCCAGGCGGCAAGGGCAAGGGCAACTTTCGTACATGTCCCTGTCTACCTAACAGCAAACTAGTTTCACATAGCCAGGACCCCTACCCTTCGTGCAACACGATGCCATGCAATACAATGCCGTTGACACGTGGGACCACGACAGACCCATCCCAAGCCAAGGCAGCCAAGCCAACACCACGCCACGCACGCACCAAGCCATTAGTAGCTCGGACCGAAGGCTCGTAGGTGCCGTCGACCGTGTAGGTGCACGTGTGGTTTCTGGCGCTTGCCACGGTCCAGTCGCTCTCCGCCTCATACACCCCGTCGCCTTCGCAGTCCCACTCCAACAGAACAATCCCCTCCGCGTCCGAGGAGCCCGAGGCATCCATCGTCACATCAAGGGGCACCTGGGGCGGGGCGGGGGGGGGGGGGGGGGGGGGGGGGGCCCAAAACGCCGGTGG